CCCCACAGCAGCCCCAGGCCCTGCCCAGGACGGGCCAGGCCGTGCTCCCTGGCTCTGGGGATGGGGGTAACCGAGGGCCACGCACGGGGCCTGGCGTGTCTTCACCCCTCCTACGGCCCCGGTCACAGCGGGGAGCCCAGGGCGCGGCGTTACGGCCCTCCCCGGGCCCACCGAGGGGCTCGAGCCCCAAACCTGTGTCGGTTCTGCAGCCAAAGAGCGCAGACTCCTTGTTTTCCACACCGAGGTGTGGGGCAAGCGGGGTGTCAGTCAAGGAGGAAGCCGGACTTCCCTCCGGAGCAGCCCCCAGGAATGATGGTGACCTAGGAGCACCCAGGACAACCCTCCTGGGAACTCTGGAGGGCAGGAAGGAGCGTGGTGGGGGTCAGGAATACCTGCAGTACTTCTCCAGCATGAAGTCGGACAGATCCTGCAGGATCTTCTCGCTGTGCAGAGCCACGAACTGCTGCCGGCAGATCTGACGCGGGAAGCAACGGTGAGTCTGGGCTTAAAGGTATTTTCCCCTCCTCCCCCCTCAGAGCATCCCACCAGGAGAGGTCAGAGGTGAGGCGCAGGGGGTGCTGCCGGACCAGGGAATCAGCCTGGGGCGGTGGGAGGCAGAAGCCGACCCTCATTTCAATCTGCCCTCGCAGCTCTCCAGGGGAAGGAGCCCAGGGCAGGCCAGAGGCACCGACCCGGCTGGGTGCTGCGTTCAGCCCATTTACAGGCACAGATCCTCCCCCAATCCGGCTCCCCGGAGGGTGGGAGAGGGGGCTACGGCACCAGGAAATCGGCTGCGAGTGCCAGCAAGGCCCCAGGGCCCCTTGCCCAGGTTGGGATCAGACACGGAGCAAAGCCGAGGGGAGGCAGGTGCCCGTGGACACCGCAGCGTCCTCGCTCGCCGGGAGGACCTTTACCTGGTTCATGACGTCCACGGTGCACGCGTGGGTCCAGTAGCAATCGTGGACCGAGACGAAGGTCAGACCCTGCCTGGGAGAAGCAGAAGGTGCTGTGAGCCCCCCTCGCAGCAACGTCCCCCCGTGCACCTTCCGGCTGGGACATGAGCAGGGACACAGGGATAATGCCATGTTCTCCCTGTCAGCCCTTCTCCGCTGGGACCACCCAACAGCCTCCCGCCAGGGAAGGCCCCCCCAGGGTGCTGGTCCCTACCGGAGGCAGTGCAGAGCCGTCAGCATCATGTGCGTGGAGTCCAGGGAGTGGATGAAGTTGGGGGGGAAGGCATTCTTCTGCTTCACCGTGTCGGGCTTCCTGCAGCACAGAGGGGGAGGCGGGAGGAGCTGGGGCACTTCCAGAGCCA